TTGCTACTCTATAACTGTAATTTTGCTACTGTTATGAATCGTAATGTAAATTTCTTTTTTTTTTCCGATGGTCTTAGGCGACCCCTGTGAAAGGGTCGTTCGACCCCCAAGGGGTCGCGACCCACAGGTTGAGAACCGCTGCACTAGATCATAAGTCACTCAGGGCAGGACATCCATCTCATTTGTTCCCACTGTATATCTAATGCCTGGAACGGTGCCTGATACTTAGGAAAAGTGTGTGTTTGCGTGTGCACATGTGCACATTCCACATACACACATGTACATTCACATACAAATATTTACTATTTGAATTAAATTCCATTATTTTGTTTTGGACTCGAACCAGTTACTCTGACTCTTTAGTTATTCTGTGCTATGTTTAAATTTTAAGTTTCTAGATTTTAAAACTGTTTCCTTTAGGAGTTTTCAAAGGAACTCGATGAGAAGTCCTCCTTGAAGACTGCAGTTCTAAGTACGGGGAACCAGCTCCTTCACCTGAAAGAAGCAGACACGGCTACGCTGAGAGCTGCTTTAGCACAGTTTGAACAGCAGTGGACAGTGCTCATAACTCAGCTCCCAGATATTCAAGAAAAGCTTCACCAGGTAAGCACTTAAAGACCCAGCATTTGAATTAGCATTCACTTGTTAGCTCACAAGTATTTTTAAATTATTTCTATGACTCAATAATTTTCATTGACACTACCTATTTTTCTTTGGCACCACTGAATATGGGTCTTAATTACTGGACTCTCCTCCAATGGGATCTTTCTTGAGAAAGAAATCAGGCTTAATTACTTTATTTCCCAGTTTATCGGCACCACTGTTTTAGTTTATGTGAAGGTCATTGTCATTGTTTTGGGGTCGCTTATTCTAGGCTTGAATGCTGGGCTTGTTTTTGTGAGTAACCTGCATAATTATGTAGCAAAACCTTTTATCAAACCAGATATCATCTTAAGTGATGCCCTGATTCATTTTGTTAACTACAGGTAATTAAATGGAAATCATTTTGTCCTTGCAGCTTCAGATGGAGAAATTGCCATCTCGTAAAGCAATCACAGAAATGATTAGCTGGATGAACAATGTGGAACATCAAACTGCAGATGAAGACTCGGAGCTTTCACTGAGTTCTGCATCTCAAGTTAAAAATCTTCTTCACAAGTACAAGGTAATTATACAAAAAGAGCCAGAGATCTTTTCTTTAAAGAAGGCACGTCAATCGGAGGGGAAATACTGAACAAAGAGACATGTAGGATGTAATTCAGGAGAACTAATCCTGGGTGTGGGGTATGTCGTGGTGGATGGTTCTCGAGAGATAAGTTAGTACACTGCTCTTTTTCTGTTTAAATCCTGCAGTAGCTCCCATCACCACAGGACAGAATGCAAGCTTTTANTTCTGTGTCTTAGATTTCAATGCCACAGAAAAGATGGAACCTTAAAATGATTTTCGCGTGGCATTGAAAACATGATCAACAAGATAAAAACGAGTTTTAAATCTTCTCAGCAGAAACTTGAAATACTTAATTTTAACTTTAAAATATGTGTAATGAGACTCTGAATTGCGTGGCTAGAGGTAGTTATCATATATCATCTTTAAAACTTCAAAAGCAGTTTTGTTGCCTAAAAATGAAATGACTGGCTAGAAAATGAAAGCATGAGATACCTGGCAGGGCCCTGCCATTCCCTGGAGGCATTTAAGCTCCTATAAGGAGCGTTTTCCAGAGGTTGGAACACCGTAGTCATGTTCTCTGAGTGCCTAGAAAGCTATAATTGATCTCTTTGCCATCTTATTTTATTGAGCCTGACACTAAGGTAAACCTCAGTCCTCTGAGGGCACGAGGCTGCTGTTTAATTCTTTGTTAGCCTAGGGACACAGAAGGTTCCACCTGAACAGCTAAAAGAATGCCGTTGAAAACAGCATTTTGAACCTATTATATTAAGAATCGGTTAATACTAGTCATACTGATAGAAGCCTGATTATTTCCCCAAATGTGACTATAGCCCTTAAAATGTACCCTGTGATTCTCTTAAAAATGAAATAATTGTTCTAAGACATTTAAATAAATTTGCCAGACTAAAAGAAGTCAGATATCTTGTAAACCCCATCTCACTTACAGACTTCTTAAGGGCCTTCTCGTTCCTGTGCATCTCTGCATCTTGGAGAGCTTTGCGTGTGTCTTGATGGGTGGACCTCTGGGGGCCTCAGAACAGATGTGTCAGTTGCGCAGCCTCTGGAGTCAAAACAAACCTGTGTTCAGTGCTAGCTGGGCACTTCATGGGCCGCGTGCCTGGTTCGGTCCGACTCCCTGTATACAATGAGGAAGTTAAAGCTTCTCAGAGATGCTCTAGAAATGAAGTGTCTCTCACTGAAGGCTTAGGAAACTGGAATCTTTTTTGGGTATTATTCTAGCCTGCAGGCTGGGGCAGTAGGAGAGGGTCATACAGGGGCGCGATGGAATGACCATTGGATGTATAATTTTTGGTAATTTTTTAAAAAGGCTTAAATTAATTGGAAAATAGCAGAAGTTCTATTTTGATCATCGTTTATTTTTAAAGATTAAATTTAAATAGCTGTCAGGATACGTGTCATTAGCTGAACCCAACCGTGAAAGATAATTGCCTTTAGACAGAGTTCTTCTCTTCAGGGGGTCAATTGTATTCGCAGTTTTGAAGAATTCTATTTTTCTTTTCATGAAGTTTTATTAATGACGTGCTGTCTGCTTTAATTTATTCTCCTGAAGTCCTCTTCCTTCCTCTCTACTCAACCCTTACATTTAGAAGACTCTTGAAATGAATTTTTTTCCTACTATTTTGGTCTAAAGGATAATAAAGAGAAGTTTCTTATTTATCTTCTTCATACCTAGGTTTCAATATAAAATGCTTACAGGGGCCAGCCGGAGAACAGAAAAAGGGACGCTGCCTGGGACTGCAGTCCGGGGGTGCTGGGGACTGTGGTGGAGCAGAACCTGAGAGAGCAGGCTCTTCTCAAGGGGGCTCTTGCTTGTCGGTTTCAGCCCATCTTTGCCCTGTGAGACTGCAGACGCCGATGGCTAGATCCAGTTTTCCCAGAGTCACAGGAAATCATAATTTCTATATAAAATTTCTTAATTTCCAAAATAATCTTCAGGTCACGCATAACCTGTCTGCAAGCTGACTGTGCCCCTTAGACTGCCAGCATTTTTTCTTTTTAGGTGGAGGAATTCACTATCCGTCTACATCTGTGAATTTTTTTCTGTTTGCATGTATAAGTCTATAGAGCTGAACCTGCGCTGTAGAAATGCGTTAGTTGGAACCTCTCATTGTGAAAAGTGACCAATAAGCCTTGAATCATGTTTGTCCCGCCAGACTGAAAGAGTCTTGAGGGTTAGGAAAGTGGTAATGTTTCTTCAGTAGCCTCTACTGTAGGTTTTTAAGGAAGTATTTGTGGCTAGATTGGCCGATTTCATTTTTAAATAATTTGTTCTGTGACTTGACTTTTATTAGCAAATAAAAAGAAACATTGATGAGAAGCATGCCCGGCTTTACCAGACTCTGAACGAAGGCAAACAGCTGGTGGCATCTGTAAGCTGTCCTGAGCTAGAGGGCCAGATTGCAAAACTGGAAGAGCAGTGGCTGTCCCTGAACAAAAAAATTGACCATGAACTACACAGACTACAAACGCTTCTCAAGTACCTGCTCAGGTATGATTCCTTAGGGATTGATGTGGCACCAGATGTCGCTGTGGAGACAGACCTCAGAGGGATTCTGTAGTCAACTGGGTGTTACATGCGATCCCTCCTGTTCGTTTTTCTTTGACAGCCTGAGGTGGTTGAGTCCCTCTTCTGGGCTAAATGGGACCTAGAGCCTCTGATACTGGTTTGCTACCTTCAGGATAATTTATAATCTGTTCTGTGGAAATAAGGAATTAGGTTATAAAATTATACACGTTACCTTTTATACCGTAATGTTGCTTTTGTACTCCCTCCCAAAAGTTTTTAAAATTTAAAAATATTCAATATTTTCAACTAACAGAATAGTTTGAAAGTCTTTGGAGTTCTTCATAAAATTTTTTTTTTTTTTTGCTTAGTTGATCTAATTTTGAACCCCTTGAGTAAGATACAGAACATGGAACATTTAAACCTCATTCTCATCCTCGCCTCCTAGGGGGCTGTCTTAACCCAGACAAGTTTAAAAGTTACAAGAGGAACAGCATTTTAGTTGGATATTTTTATCACATCAAGTAAATATGTAAGCATCTAGCCAATAGCACTTTGCTGTTATACAACTTACACAAATGCTGGTTATATTTTTATTATAAACAAATCTAGAAGAGGACATTTGATGAATAAAAAGTAATCTCTCTTCTTGCCCATGGGTTTACTTTTGTGTAACTTTTATTTT